TATCCTCTCGGCTACATCGGTTCCAACCCTTCCCGATGCAACCACAACAACGTACCTGACGACGACCTGCCAACCAACCAATCAGCCCCGCAAAGTCCGACTCGATCTTTATCACCCTCATCGTAACGGCCCCCATCATCCAATTAATCGCCATGACCCTGGGCATCACCCATCTCGTGCTCGAGTTACTCCCCCAAATACGACAATACGCCGTCTACAGGAGCTTTGCCCTCCGCATGGTCACCTACACCCTCCAAACATTCTTTGCCGTGCTCTTCTATCAGGGTGTCAATGGTGCCATTTACACGTTTGTCGCCGTCATCGGATTCACGATGGCCCAACTCAGGGGCGAGATCGTCGCAGAGGCGAGAGAACAAAGGGGCCGTGGTGAAGGAGGCACGGGCAGCGGCGCAAAGGCCTAGTAGTGCTGGTCTGATCTTGGTCTAGTCGAATCGACCTACTCTGCGCTGCACTGCGCCGCGCCCGCGTCCCGTTCTGAGCCTCCCCTTACTTCTCGATACTTACTTGGTTTCCGGTCCTGCCTCGGCTTTCTTCTTCTCCTCATCCCCGCGAGTGCAACGGTGCAAAGCGACTCGTTGTGCTCTTTTCTTTCTTTCTTTTTTGGTCCCTTACGGTATTCGTTGCCGCTCCTTGTTCTACAGAGTTTCGGAAGAGCTGTCGCTCTCCCTTTTTTTGTTTTTTTACCCTTTTTTGTAACCCCATTTTTTTCACACATCAAAATCGGAATGGTTAAACAGATGCGGTCGCATGCGTATATTTGAGAACCAACGACAACGGTTTACACAAAGGCTGTTGAGAACTAATCAAAGGTCCTGACTTGGGTCACGACAACCCCACTCGGCGGCAAGTTTCTCTAGAAACTGCGTGCCGAGTTCGTCAACAAACTCCACGGTAGCATTGGAATCAATATTGGTCAACGATCCTCTGAACAAGACTCTATTTGGAGCACCTTGCTCGCCGGGTATAGGTTGGAAAGATGTCCATAGCGTCCTCAGTACAAAGTTCATCGTGGATCTGTTTGCCTTCAGATGCTGAAGATGACAAGCCTTTGTCAAGAACTCCCTGGTGCTCTCCACAAACCAGAGCGGCTCCAACGGATCGTCAAATGAGCCGGTAAGGGGGCCCTTTCTATACGTGAGTGTCAACTCCTCTAGGCGAGTAAAATCGAGACCACATAGAGTAAGGATATTGCGGGGGAGACCGCAATCATGGCACCCCAAGTAGAGAGATGTTACCATTGGCATGTGACAATTAGTCAACGCTGTGGGGAGTATGAAGCCATGAATCTCGAGGAGTTGGAGGGCTTCCAATTGGTTTGGAAAGGGAAAGTTGAAGTCGTATGTTTGGAGGCATAAGGCCCGAAGACTTGTGGAGGTCTGCATCGTCAAGGAAGATTGGTTCATCTTGTACGGTGTGCACCACCTTAATGATGTCTTTTGAAGAGCCGCACTCCGTGGAAACGTTGGGAGAAAGGCTTCGAAAAGCGTGAAGCTCTTGAGTTTGTTTGTATTGGGAAACTGGTTATACTTTGAAAAATACTTGACGCCGTCAACGTATTTTAACGTCAAAGATAGAAGATTGGGTGTAGGGAAACTTAAGGCGATTCCTAATTGAGGTGTAACGCAAGTGTCTGTCCTACGTATAAATGTCGGCCCAAAGTCCACATAAAGGGAGCTCCATTGTGCGCATCTCTCCCCATTCTCTCCCGCAAGTACTTTTAGTGCGAATGAAAGACACTCCACAATACTATCTTCGCATGCACAACGTCCTTCTTCCTCTGGGTCGGGATCTGACTCGTGCGCCTGGCTTAGGATGGATGTAAACTGACTAGAGAGTGAACTCTTCGTGCCCTTATTATCTCTTTTGGGTATTTGGGCTACATGTGCACCGCATCGACCAATATAGTTACGCAGATCGATGTCCAGCAAGACATTGTCGCCACATTTATTCAATCTGGATGGAATACGCCTCTTCCATATATTAGATATGGGGTCATGTCCTAGGTATATCCTAAAACGACTCCACAATGAAAGATGGCCCATCGCGGCTTGGTTCCAAGTGCGACAGACTAATAACAGGGTTTCGAGGGGATGATCAATCGTCTCGTGCTCGCTATAATGCGAGAAGATGAATCCCAGGACGTCAAAAGGGAACTTTTCGTCGGCGCTAATCAAGGCCATTGTTTTGGCGGAGATTGAAGTGGTGGCGGCAGGTGAGGTTATTTTGGCCGGCCCACGATAACTCTATCAAGAATGCACCCTACTATACATGCCCGCTGGATCTCTTTACATCAAACTTATGACAAAGTTTCTCGTCTAGTTTAGTTGACTTACGCCATGCTCGCGCCCGTTCTGGGCTCTCCTTCTCGTCACTTGATTTCCGGGTCTCCTGTCTCTCTTCTCCTCCCCGCAACGCTTTGTATGTGCGATGTGCGACGGTGTAAAACGGCTCATTGTGCACTTTCTTTCCCCTTTTCCCCTGATATTCGTTGCCGCCGCTCGTTCTACAGAATTGGAGAGCTGTTACTCTCTCTTTTTGGTGTTTTATCTTTTGGTGACCCCGCTTTCTTCTTCAAAGTCAGAATAGTTATATAGATGTGATTGAATGGGTATATTTAGAGGACGACATAACGGCTGCTGAGAGCTAGGAATCAAAGGCCGCACTAGGGTCGCGACACCCCCACTTGGCGGCAAGTTCCTCTAGAAACTGCGCGCCGAGTTCACCAACAAAGTTTACAGTAGTATTGGAATCAATATCGGTCAAGGATCCTCTGAACAAAACTTTCCTTGGAGCACCTTGCTCGTCTCGCATGGCTTCTAAATCCGACCACATCGCGGTGAGTACGAAGCCCATCGTGAATCTGTTTGCCTTTAGATGTCGAAGTTGGCCGGCCTTTACCAAGAAAGCCTCGATGGTATGTGTAAACCATCGGAACTCTTGTGGGCCGTAAGAGTAAGGCTTTCTGAAGGTGAGCGTTAACTCTTTTAAGTTGCCAAAATTGAGCCCAGAGAGCGAAGTTACATTGCCGGGGAAAGCCCAATGATGACATCCTAGGTAGAGAGATGTTACCATTGGCATTTGACAGCTCATGAGCGCGCTCGGAATTATGAACCCATGAATTTCGAGAGATTGAAGGTTTTCAAACTTTTTGGGAACGGGAAAGCGGGCGTCATATGTTTGGAGAGATAGGGCCCGAAGACTTGTGGAGGTCTGTATTGTTAAGGGCGGTTCCTTTACTGAGTAT